GGTGGATGGGAAGGAGGGAGAAAGGAGGATCCAGTGCTTAGGAGACACTGAGCTCCTGTGAACGGTAATAGTATAATTTGGGAATGGGTAAGGGCGATGGTTGAATAACATGGTAAATAAAACATCACTGAACTGTACCTGTGAAGACTGGTGAAAGGTCAAATGTTTTGTTACATATATTTTTACCACAATAAAAGAGAGAGACAGAAAGAGGTCCCGAATCCACTTCTTGCCACCTTCACTGCTACCACCCTGGTCCAAGCCCCCATCCTCTCTCCCCAAGTTATTGCAAATGCTTCTGAACTGGTTTCCCTGTTTCTAAACAATCTATTCTAAAAACAAGAGGAATCCTTTAAAACTGAAATCAAATTATACCACTTGTGCAAAACCCTCCATTGGCTTCTCATTACAGGGCCACAAAATCCTAATCCTTTGCCGTGGCCCTGAGTGGTGCCAAACCTGCTACCTCCGTGACCTCATCTCCTGCCACTCCCCCTCCTCTGTGATGCTCCAGCCACACTAAACTTCCTGCTGTTCCTAAAATACTCCAAGCTTGTTCCCACCTCAGGGCCTTTTCACATGGTGTTCTCTCGGCCAGGGATGTTCTTCCCTCAGCTTTTTTGGAGAGCCTTTGTGTGTAGTAAATATATATGTAACAAAACATTTGCCGTTTTAACATTATTTACATGTACAATTTAGTGACATTAATTATATTCATCATCATATTATCCATTCTCAAAATTTTCCATCACTCTTAACAGAAGCTCAGTGGCCCCTAAGCAATGAGTCTCCCTTTTCCCCTCCATTCAGTCCACCCCTGGTAACTACTAATAAACTTTGATTTTTTATACACTTGCCTATTGTAGATAATTTCATATACATTTCCCTCATTTTTTTGCTTGGCATGCTCCCTTACTCCATTCAGGTCTCTGCTCAAATGTCCCCACCTCACAGCAGCTGTCTGTGGAAGGCAGCCTCCAAGATGGCCCCCAGTGAACCTAATCACCTGGCATTCATGCCCTCATGTAATCTCTTCCTTTTGAGAGTTGGCTGGACCTAGTGACTTACTTCTAACCAATAGAATATAGCAAAAACACTGGGGTGTCGCTTTCCATATTGGGTTACAAAAAGACTGACTGCCATCTTGCTTGTCCTCTCTCTCACTTGCTCTGAGGGAGGCCAGCTGCCGTGCTGTGAGTTGCCCTATGGAAAGGCCCATGCGGCAAGGAACTGAGGGACGCCCCTGGCCAACAGCCAGAGAGGATCTGAGACCCTCAGTCCAACAGCCCATGAGAACTGAATCCTGCCAACAACCACATGAATGAGCTTGGAAGTGGCTCCCCCGTTAGTTAGGTCTTAACGATGACACCACAGCTTCGGCCAACATCTTGATAGCAACCTGTGAGAGACCCTGAGCCAAAGGACGCAGACACGCTGCACCTGGATTCCTGAGCCGCAGAGACTGTGAGATAATCAATGTCTGTTGACTTAATCTGCTGAGTTTTGGGATAGTTTGTTTTTCTATCCATAAGGTTTTATCCTTTAGAAGTGAGGATGGTGAGACTTCATCTTGCTCATTTTGAACACGCCATCAGGAAAGACCAATCGCCAGAAAAGGACAACATATTTGGTAAAGTAAAGGGTTAGTGAAAACGAGCGAAACCCTCAATGAGACAGATTGACACATAGGTGCAGGACTAGGCAACATTTCATTCTGTTATACATAAGGTCACCCACCCTAAGTCAGAGCAGACTCGAAGGGAACTAACAACAATTTATTATGCAGCTGTGTTGTCCATCTTGCTCATCTCAGTATCCTCAATGCCTCGCACAGCATCTGGCCCCTCGCAGATATTCAGTAAGTATTTGTAGAATACATGAATAGTTGAAGGAATGCAGGATGCCCAGAGGGACTGGCCACAGCTCAGAAACACAGCCAGAAGTGGTGGGTCAGGAAGGGAGGGGCCAGCTCACCCCCATCCCAGCTGCCTCAGGGGTCACCACCCCCTCTGAGCAGGGACTGGGGGCTCTGCTCTCCCATGTCTTCCGAACGACATTGCTCCTACCCCGGGACCTTGGTCCTAGGCTGTCAGGGCCTAGGATTCAAGCTCTCTCTGTGGGAGAACATGTCCAACTTCATGTCCCTGCCCCAGTTAATACAATCTGGATTTTCCTACGCCCTCCAGACCTCATGCTTATTTTTCTTTCTTTTTTTTTGGTATGAAGATTTGCTAAATGCCTCACTTAGAATGAGCTAATTTTTGTACCTGTGTCAGACTCTTCACAAAAATAATTTAATAAATAAGGAAAGAATCCTATTCCAGTCCCCGTTTTTGTTTGGAAAATGGTCCCTGTGCCCATAAAAAGGGAAGGATTGCTGGATTAGGCCTTTCCCAGCCCTGTCCCCACAGGGTCCCAATAGCCTGGACACCTTCCAGCAAAAACACCAGGCCCCGGTTGGAAACTGTCACCCAGTCTGGGTCTGGCAAAGCGCTGGCCCTGTGCCCACCTAACTGAGCCATTTCCTCCTAGACAGAGGCAAGCTTCCTGCCCAGAGGGAATGCGAACACTGCGGGGAGAGGGGTGAGGGCAAGTTGGGTCCTGTATTGGGGAGGGTGGCAGTTAGCAGCTACAGGCATTTCCCCCACCTCAGCTACTACATCTTGGGGCTGAAGGCCCATCCTGGTGGCAGGGCCAGGAGCAAGCATTAGAGGTTGGGCTCAAGCTGACCAAGGGGGATAAGCGGAAGCCACATGGCCCCAGTGTTGGGTCCAGCAGGTGGGAAGTGGAGACTCCTAGGCCAGCCTTTGAGTGACTGGGGTGGACTTTGCTGAGAGGTGGAGGCCCTCAAAGTCCCTTCTCCAGGCTCCCCGCCCCCTGGGGCCTTCCAGACAACCATGACCCTCACAGTCCCATGAAAGCCCATTGGCTGGGAGTCTCCTTTGCCTTGTGGGGCTTCTCCTGGAAAAGCGCCCTGAGCTGAGGCCTTCAGTCCCTGTGGAACCAGAATTCCCTGTGGGCTGTGTGCCTAGGCCCAGAGACCATTGCCTAAGGCTGCCCTGGACAAAAGGCAGGCAGAACCACATTCCAGAGCCTGCCAGGAATGGGCTAGCCATTTTTCACACCCACCTATTAGCGTCCCTGGACCCTAATCTTCAACAAGAAGAGGGCAGCAGGGGGTATACAAAGCACTTGAGCTCTGAAGTCAGGCTGCCAGGATTCAAATCCTGGCTTTGCCACTTACTAGCTGTGTGCCCTTAAGCAAGTTACTTAACCTCTCTGAGACTCAGTTTCTGAATCTGTAAAAAGGGAAAGTAATAGTACCTGCCTCTTGGGGCTGTTATCAAAATGAAATGAGGTAATAAAAATGCTCAGCACAATGATTAAAAAACAGAAAATAACAGGTGTTGGCAAGGATATGAAGAAATAGGAACCCTCATCCATTGCTGGTGAGACTGTCAAATGGTACAGCTGCTATAGAGAATAGTCCTGTGGTTCCTCGAAAAGTTAAACATAAAATTACCATATGGTCCAGCAATTCCACTTCTAGGTATATAGGTATAAAAGATCTGAAAGCAGGAATACAAACAGATTTCATGTACATCAAGGTTCACTGCAACATTATTCACAGTAGGCAAAAGGTGGAAACAGCCTAAATGTCCATCAAGAGTTGAATAGATAAATACAATGTGGTACATACACACAATGGAATATTAGTCATAAAGAGAAATGAATTCCTGATGCATGTTACAACATGGATGAACTTTGAAAACATCATGCTGAGTGAAATGAGTCAGTCACAAAGAGACAAATACTGTGTAATTCCACTTACATGAAACATCTGTATACTACACTAGGCAAGTGTATGCAGACCTAAAGTTATTGGTGGTGACCAGGGGCAGGTGAGAGGCAGGAGAAAGGGAGGAATCATTTCTTAGGAGACGTTGAGCTTCTGTTAAGGGTGATGGAAAAATCTGGAAATGGATAATGGTGATAGATGTACAAGATGATGAACACAATCAATGTTATCTTCAGCTAAACTTGTCATCTTCAACTAAATTGTACATGTGAAGAATGTTGAAATGACAGATGTTTTGTTAGTTACATATTTACCACACACACACAAAAGCAGCGCTCAGCACAGGGCCCAGCACATAGCAAGCACCCATTACATGGTAGCTGCTCTTACGACAGGCTCAGAGAGGTGCAGTGGCTTGTCCAAGGCCTCACAGCAGGTAGGCACAGGCACTCAACCCTGAAGCCCAGGCCTTTTCCATACCCTCTGTGGGATCTCTGAGCTGGGCCCTGCAGGAGGTAAGAGGCCTTGTCAGCACTGTGCTCCCTTCAGCTGTTTCCCGGCCCCAGATGGGACAGGACAGGGGAGCCTCCACCCAAGACAGCAAGTGGGTGCTATACAATGTGTCCACGCACCAGCCCACCCCATCCACGTTACCTCCTCAGCCACCTCAATATTAACCCCTGCCTAGGGCTGCTGCTCCCCTCCCCACAACCCTGAACTCCTTTTCTCTGTCTGCAAGGAGTCCTGTCCGCCAGGGGACCCAGCCCGGGCCAGCCTTGAGGTGGCTATCCAGAAGTCTGCCTCAGCCAGGAGAGCTGTGTGGCCTCAGAAAAGTCTTTTACCCTCTCTGTGTGTTCATAGGTCTAAGGCACAGTTGAGAAAGTTGTCATCTTTATTGTTTCTGGAGAAGACGGGGAGGCCAGTAAAGGGGGAAGCATTCTGAGGAGGCAGTTCTCCCCCCCCCAACCCAGGAACGCAGGTCTGAGGGGGCTGTAGCCACTGCGCACCCTGAGACAAACGGGGATCAACCAAGAAACCTCCAGATGACCCCACCCTCCTAGGGCCCCCAGACCCAAACCCTCTCTGCCCCCTGTGGGCTCCCAGTGCCCACCCCGAGCTCCAGGTGGGGGCCAGCCCTACCCCTCTGTCTCCAGGCAGCATCCCCGGGCCAAGGCCTCACTGGTCAGCCTGCTTGAGCCTCAGACAGACTCCAAGTCCTCCCTGAGGCTGTTCAGGAGGGGGCCGTGCTCCGGGGCTGGGCAGCTGCTGACAGCAGGCGCCGGCTTGGCACTGACACGGAAGGACTCTGGGATGGAAAATCCTGAGAGAAGGTGGGGAGAAAAGGATGGCGGACACCACCCATCCCCCCCACCTCCCCAGGGGGTTGCCTCTGGCCTCCAATTATCCAAGACCTTCCTCCCATTCTAGGGCCTCTGGCAGAGGCTGTGGGGCACAGCATGGGTGGGCTGCAGGTGGGGTGGGTGTTACTGCTCAGCCTCCCAACTCCTCTGTCCCCACCCCAGCAGAGGTCACCCTAGTTCTCCTTGAACTTGAGTCCTATTTGGAGCAGGGCTTCAGTGTCTGGGGATGCATGGGGCGAGTGCCCACCTGTAGCTGGCAAAGGTGGAGCAGGGTGTGGGTGCCCGCCAGGCACCAGAGTTCGCCCAGCAGGGAAACGAGGATGCCCAGGAGGTCCAGCCAGCGGCCCACGGTCAGCAGCAGCAAAAAGAGGCCACCCATGCGCACCAGCACCGTCTGCACCTGGCTCTGCATGCCGGGGCGCTGCCGCTGCTCCTCTGGGGGTGTGGGCAGGGCACCATCACTGGCTGCCCGCCAGTCCGCCGCATCCTGGGGCTCCACCCTGAGGTCCAGCTGGACCAGGCCTGGACCTCCCAGTGTCGCACCCATCTGCCCACCGACCCCTTGCAGCCCAGCCCTCCTGCTTCCTCCTTGCCCTCCCTCCCCCAGCACCTACTGGGCGCCAGGTGCAGGGGCATCAACGCCTCTCTTTCACAACTCTTTTTGCCGAATACACCCCCCAGCACACCGCACCACTCCCACTGCCGCACCCTCGTCTGAGCCACCTTCACCTCTTCCCCAGGATGTCCCAGCCTGCCGCCTCACGGGGCTCCCGGCTTCTGTTCCTGCGCTACATTCCCTTGTCTGCTCAGCAGCCAAAACGGCCTTCTCAAAACAACTAGATGGAATCATTCCTCTGCTTGTAAGCCTCCCAGGGCTTCCCACTGCATCTGGAGGAAACGCCAAACTCCTCAGCTTGCCTTAGGTAATCTTGCCCACTCTGACCCAAGCCCCTGCTCCAACCTCACCTCTTCTCTGCCTTGCTCCCATCCTGGCTTTCTACCATCCATTGAGCATGCCAAGCTCACTCCCACCTCAGCACCTTCGCACTTGCCTGAATGGCTTTCCTCGTCCTGCCGCTTCCACCCCATCCCTACTCTGCAGCCAGGGGTCTCTTCCTAGAGCCCACACCTGGCCCCATCACTCGCCTGCTTAACATCCCGCAATGGTTTCTCTTTGCACTGCCCAGCCTGGCTGACGAGGGCTCCGGGATTAGGTCCCTACTCACCTGGCCAGCCTCACTCCTTCCCCTGGCTTTTGGGGTGACAGCCACACTCAACTTTTTTCAGTTGTCTGATACCACCATGCTCTCTCTCACCCCTGGGCTTGGGCACATGCAGTTCCCTCTGCCCCAGATGCCCTTCCCCTCCCCTCCTCTCTTACGGTGCTCCTACTTATGCTTCAAAGCCCAGTTCAAAGCCCATCCCTTCAGGGCTCCCAACACACACCACACCGTTTTCTGAGCTGCCCCCCTCTGTTGCCTCTGCCACTGGACCAGGCACTCCGGGATGGCGGGTGTGGGGTCTGACTGTTACTCCCCCAGGGCCCGGCACAGTGCTCAGCCTAGGCCAGACAAGGATGTGAACACTGCTCAGGCCCTGCCCGTGGTCCTCACCCTGCATGTAGATGACCAGCAGCATGTAGCAGATGGTGAGTGGCGTCCAGAAGCGCACGGCCTCCGAGGTGGTCAGGAAGTCCCGGTTGATGAGGGCCACAGCCGCCAGGTCACCCACAGCAAAGGTCACAGCCAGGGCCCGGCCCAGCAGCTCCAGAAGGTCCTGCGCGCCGGCCAGCAGGACCAGGCACACCCCACAGTAATGCTGGCTGCTGTGCAGCTCGTAGAGGCGGTAAACATGGCGGCGGAGGCGGCGGGCCCATGTGCCAAGCAGTGTGGCCAGCCCGAGGGCCAGCAGCAGGTTCAGCGTGCCGTGAGGGGCGCCCTCCTGCAGGAAGCTCAAGCCGCAGGTCAGCCCACAGCCCAGCGAGTACTGGCACAGCAGGTAGAGCTGCAGCCTCTCGGTGTCCTGCGAGCCCTGGGCGCAGAGGAGGCAGATGGGGGGCCACAATGGTTGGTCGGCGCTCAGGCCACCCCTCACCACAGCGGGACAAAGGGGGCCATCAGGTTACAGATGCTCCATTCTAGAGGAGTCTGAAGGGAACTTGGGTATCGTTCTCAAAGAATATTGGGACCTATGGGAACATTTCTCTCTGCTTTTGATTTTAATCCTATTATTTGGGACCCATTTGCTTGCTGAAGGGCAGTGGTTCATCAAGACCTGGTCAAGCCTGAGTCTGCCCCCGCTGGTTGTTGATCACAGACAAGCCACTTCTTTCTCTGAGCCTTAGTTTCCCCATCTGTGAAATGGGATCACAGCAAACCCTTACCCCTGTGGTTGTGAGGATTAAATTGAGGTGATGCACTCAAAGTATTCAGCACCCAAAAATCCTAAACCAAACCCACCAGCATCGATTCAACTCATAGCAACCTTGTAGGACAGAGCAGAACTGTCTCATAGGGTTTCCAAGGCTATAGTCTTTATGGAAGAAGAGTGCCACATCTTTCTCCTGTGGAGTGGCTGGTAGGTTCGAACTGCTGAACTTTCAGTTAGCAGCCGAGCACTTAACCACTGTGCCACCAGGGATCCGTGTATTTAGCACAGTGCCTGACATTCTTGGGACTAGGGTTGTATCTACTCAGAGTGGAGACTTTGCTTTGATAATCAATAACCGAAGGAGCCCTTCTGCAGCCTCTATTCACAATCTTACAGAAAAGGGGGTAGTAAAAAGACTGGGGACCCTCTGATTGGACCTAGCCTCCCATGTTCCAGGAATGCAAATTGAGGCCCAGAGCCCAGGAGTGGTTCCCCCACCACCTCCCCTGTGGGTGGGTCTCACCTTGCCCAGAGACAGCAGGGTAGAGACCGCCCGGAGGGAGAACTCGAGCACCACGAGGGCGGCCACCCGGGTCCCCACGACCGTCAGGATCAAGGCCAGCCCCACCAGCTGCACGGTCTCCAGCGAGGCCCACTGGGCCAGCAGCCGCTTCTTTTCAGGCTGCCGCCGCTCAGGGTCCCTATGGGGGCAGAGTAAGTGGGCAGAGGTGCAGAACCACCAGCCATATGTCCTGCAGGGGGGCCTGGTGCCCCTGCCACACTCCCTGGAGGGGGGGAGTTGGTCTCTTTCCCCCAATCCTCCCTCAGAGGCCAGAACCGAAGAGCAGGGCCCAGGAGGACCAAAAGGTAGGCACTCACTTGGCACAGCCCACGAAGAAATAAACCTTCAGGAGGCTGCTCAGGATGGAGACTCCGCAGGCCCCGACGAGGCCTGAGGGGGTGGGAGGGAGGCAGGGGGATAGGTGTAGTGGGTGGGGGTTAGGGAGGGGGACAGCCAGGGTGGTGGGAAACCCATGTGGGTGGGGGCCCACTTGCAGTGCCCAGAGCAGGTGCTGGGAGGGGGCAGGGCTGAGGCGGGGCTGGGAAGAGGCACTCACCTTGCAGGAGGGAGTCCAGGAAGCTGGAGCCGCATTTGAGGGAGGGGAGGCCAGGGAGCCAGGAGGGGAGGGCCAGCAGGGAGAACATGGCGGGCCCGGGATCCGGGCCCCGCCTGCAGCCAGGCCTGTGCTGGGGCAGACTAACGTCACTGGGCAAAGGTGTCAGCGACGGGAGGGGAGGTGCTGGAGGGGTCAAAGGCCCATCGTTAGGACACCCCCAGGGGAAGGGAAGGGAGGAGAGCCAGGGGCCTTAACCCTTCCAGGACAGGGCCGCAGGAAGGCAAGGCCCTCGCTCCAGGGACAAGGGGTGCTGGGAGCCAGTTCCTGCCCAGGTGCTCCCCATTTGGGCCATGCAGGAAGAGGGCTTTCTCTGGTCCTGTGAAAAGTCTGGTGCCCCCTTTTCTCACCCTCCCTTAGGACCTGAGCTGCACAGTGCCTTCCAAAAGGCCCAGGCTGCTTTCTGCTCTCTTTTAGCCTAAACTATGGGATCTGCCCTCTCAGCCCAAGGTCTGGAAGAGGAGATCTATCCACCCAAAGCCTGAGGTCAGGATCTGCTCTCTAGCACTAGGTCTCGGTGTCCATACCCTAAAACTGGAGGTCTGGGTGTCTATTCCTCCACAGCCTGAGGTCTGGGGGTCTATCCTCACACAATCTGAGGTCTGGGGGTCTATCCTCACACAGCCTGAGGTCTGGGGGTCTATCCTCACACAGCCTGAGGTCTGGGGGTCTATCCTCACACAGCCTGAGGTCTGGGGGTCTATCCTCACACAGTCTGAGGTTTGGGGGTCTATTCCCGCACAGCCTGAGGTCTAGGGGTCTATCCCCCACAGCTGGAGATCTGGGGGTCTATTCCCCCACAGCCTGAAGTCTGGGTGTCTGTCTCTCCACAGCCTGAGGTCTGGGGGACAGCATGAAGTCTGGGGGTCTATTCC